TTGGTTATGAGTCCTATACAATATCCCTTCTGATATAGATACATACTTTAAATATAGCCTCCCCAATCTGGAAAGCTGTCAAACTCTAGCTTGCACAAGGTAGCTTAGGGTGTCTAGGCATTGAGTCAAACCCTAGAGCACTGGTGTTTGCAGGCGGAGAGGATGGGAATACTTCCTAACTACCCTGCTTCTCATGTTCTCAGTGACTGCAGCACGGTTATTTCATCTCAAGACCACGTACTACTATCCCTTCAAAGAGCCTAGGTTATTAGTAAGAAGCACAAATTAAACTGATGCAGTAGTGGGTGCTACATGTTGCATGTCCTGTTTGCTGAGCAAGCAAATTCACACCATTTCTAGCTTCTGTTTAGACACATTTAACTTTTGTTAAGCCTGTACTAGAACTTGCTAGGTTGTTCCTATTATATAAAATTGAATAAATTGTGAAGAACTAGAGAAAACTAGTCATGGTCTTAAAATGAAGTTTTAGAGTCATACTCTTGTCAAAACCACAAAGAACCTGTTTCAAAACTTTCAACAAAATGTGATAAAAGGGATTCTATACAGGTAAACCTATTCTTTTAATCTTTTGATTTCATACCTTGAATCTAGTACACTAAGACTGTGCTAGTATAATCCTTTCTTTAGATTGTTTTCATTTAGAATTTCTTACTGGTATAATCCTCTTCTTAGTATTAAGTTACATAGTGGTTACATCTGTTTTATACAGAAAGGACATCAGTTATATGCAGAATGCTTGCTAGTTTATTATTGGTCTGAATTTATTAACAACTGAAAAACTACTCATTAATTCATCATAAAAGCCTCATTTTCTAAGATTCAAACATACACATCACTCTAATGGTAGGGTCATGCCCAAGTGTGAATGCACTGTATTAGATGCCTGTAGATTTAACTTGCCTCTAAATACCCGTCTCATGTGACATCATTCCTCTCATCTGATATAATCTTGCCATAAAACTGGCAGATAAAACTGGTTGTGACCCCAGATACGCAAAACCACCTAATTTTCATACCAACTGCATTAAAAATGGCATCTTTTAAACACTTGATAATTTTAGCCTATGTATACACATACATAACACAAATGGCTAAAGTTGGCAGATTAACCATTGTTACACCTTTTTACCGCAGAATGACTTTACAATAGCATTTAACACAGTCTGTGGGTGTATCAGATCTTTACCATGGTAAAGGTACAGGGGAGGGTTTCCTCAAGAAATACCACCCAGTGAAGTGCTTTTCTCAGAGGGCTGGACACAGAATTTAATAAAACTAGGCATTCTCTAAAAGTAGATAGATGTAGTGATGATAAAAAGCCTTGCATTGTGAGGATGGAGAGATGGCTCAGCAGTTAAGAGCAGTGGCTGTTCTTGCAGAGGACCTGGGTTCAATTCCCAGCACCCACATGGTGGCTAACAACCATCTGTAACTCCAGTTCCAGGGGATCTAACACCTTCTTCTGCCTTCTGTGGGCACTGCACAACACAGGTGCACTTACACACATCCAGGCAATATACACATAAAATTTAAAAAGCCGTGCATTGTTTATGTGGTAATGTAATCTGAATGCTTGAATCTATTTAGTAATGGCAAGGATGAGTAAACGTACATTATGTAGCCAAGACCAGTGAACTTTTAAAAGAAGTTTGCCACAGATTATACACACAGGATGTCTGAGAAACTTAGTGAAGCATTCCTGTACTTGACTGAAATTTGACAATGCACTGAAGACTCCCTATTAACTTCTGAAAATAAGATTAATTCTAGAACTGTCTTTGCACATTGCCATTTCAGATGTATGCAATGTGAAGTTCCATAGGGTCTCACTTAGCCCAGACTGGACTCAAACTTGCAGCAACCCTCCTGCCTCAGTCTTTGGAGTGCTGGGATTACAGGCATGAGATACTACATGCCCAGCTACAACCTAAACTTCTGTGGTAACAATCTCAATCAAAATCATCAGGGAAAAAAAAAAACATATCAATTTACTTAAAAGTAACCCATACTTTCAGCTTGCTACCATTAAGTACCTCAAATGATAAAACCCCAAAGAGGAAAGTAGCACTTAACAGTGTCAACAAAGTGGTACATTGATGCTATAAAATGTTTTTCATTTGAGGCATTGCAACAGAAAATAAAAACACAGCTCTTTGCAATTTACTTTTACATTATTTGGTGTGCCCCATGCACACATGCATGTATAACATGCAGATCAGAAGTGGTTCTCTCCCCATCATGTGGTCCTGGGGAATCAAAGTCAGGTCATTAGGTTTGGCAACAGGTACCTTTACCCTGCCAAGCCATCTTGCCAGCTCTGCTCTTTGCTTTCATAGAAACTGAAAATGTACATTTTTTTCCCCAAGGAAGTTAACTACTAAATATTTTCACTATATGCTTAAGGTAAATTGTAAACATAAAGCTCTGCCACAAGGAGCTGCTTAACACACAAATTCTTCTAGGCCATTTAAGGGTATATAATTTTGTAACGTTTTACCTCTATGTTGTGTGCATGCCACAGGTGTGCAGGTGCCCAGAAGCCAGAAAGGTCAGATCACCTGGGGCTGGAGCCTCCTGAGAGGGTACAGCGAATCAAACTCCAATCCTCTTGGAAGAATAGCAAGAGGTCTTAACTGTTGTGCCATCTCTCCTGCCCCTGGAGAATGTAACTTTATTGCTTTCAGCACTCTATAAAATTAAGACCCAATACTATGGACAAAAACTGTATAAATTCTGTTGCAAATGAAGACGTGTCAGATTATATTTGTACATAGGCAAATGTTTACAAAAAGTGGAAGACAGCTAAGAATCCTATGGTACAACAATTACCTAAAACGCATAGGTACTTCAAGTAGTGGGGTATGTTGACAGGATGGGACTTTTGCTTCTCAACACATCCGATTTTGGAATTATGTGAATGTTAGATAAAAACAAAGCTAGCAGTATGGTTAGTATCTTACTATTATGTAGTAGACCTTTTCCTATTTTAAGCTACTCTTTAAATATAGGTATCTGCAAAAAAAAAAAAAAAAAAAAAAAAAAAAAAAAAGTCCAGCTTGAAAGAATGACTTCAATCATTTCAAACAAATCGTTAAAGTTACAGATCTTAAACTGGACACAGCAGTTCACATCTGTAACATAGCATTTGGAACTCCCTGAAGGAGTTTGAGATCCACCTGGGCTAGACAGTGATTTCCAAGTGAGACCCTGTTTCAAACAAAACAGAAGAGTGCCACACGCCTGTAATCTCAGGATCTGCAGAAAGACTATCACAAGTGCAAGACCAGCCTAAAAATAAAAAGCTACCGATCTTAGCCTTTCATCTTTCCAAATTCTAAAAACCATTACTTGCCAGGCATGGTGGTGCATGCCTTTAGTTCCAGCACAGAGAGGCAGGTGCACCTCTTCAGTTTGAGGTGAGCCTGGTCTACAGCATGTTCCAGGCCAGTTGGGGCTACAGGGGAGACCTTGCCTCAAAAACAAAAGGAACAAGAAACAAAACAATAAAAAACGTTTTAAGTGCTTTCTTTAAACTTCAGGCAGGTAGTTACCACCTTTTGCATAAGCCAACCAATGTGGCTGGCCTTAAAATAATGCACAATATAACCTTGTATTAGGGTTCATGATCTTAATTACTACTGAAAAAATAACCGACCCGTCCCATGTCATCATCCCCGGCCCGGTTCCTTTGTAAATTATACACTGGGTAGGAAAGTCCACCCTAGCTTTACAGACTACATGCAAAGACTTGTCTATTTATATAAGGAAAAACATGTTCAATTTCAGGGCCCATTAAAGTCTTAGTCAGTCTGGACTGATGGATACAGAGTCTGAATTCCAAGTCTGGGTAGAACAGATCTGAGTCTTCTTGGATGCCTTACACTGAGACTCCCCCGTGGATTCTCCTGCAAATTAGTAAATTCAAGTCTTAAGATTCTTGTCAAAAGATTATGGATTTAAATCTGTAATCCCACCTCCTGGAAGCTAAGGTATGATTGCCAAAAGTTCCAGGTTAACCCAGACTACACAGTGAGTCCTAGGCCTGATCTAATGTGAAACCCTGTTCCTTCTTCTCCCCACAAGTGATTAGAGAAACCTTTAATAGCTATTATCTCTTGCTACTGAAGACATCCACAAACTGATGGGGGAGCTTAAGGGTCTATCATTTTCCCACCTCCTACATGTCACTCCATGCTTTTATCAGTTCAGTTCCCCAACAAAAAAGGTCAAGCATCAGATTTTTTGTTGACAATGGTGAGGAAGTAATTTTAAAATGAACAAGCTTCCCTCAAAATGCCATTAATTTTAAAACTCTGCCTTGACTGAATACCCTTCAGACTGAGGGAGATACTGTTCACTCAATACACTGACCTCTGCACACACTTGATACAAAAGTAGCAGCGAAGGACAGAAGTGAAGCAGGTCATTTCCATTCTAATGCTATCCCTGAAAAGCAATGGCTGTTCTTGGTTTCATGTGTTCTGTGGGGCAGGTAACTGTTACTTGTTCATTACTATCTGGCATGACACCTGCAAAGACTAAGTCCATAGTTCCTTCCTCTCTACATTACAGCCAAAGTCCACGCAAACCAAGCAATTGCTCCCTGTAAGCAAAAAGTATTCCTACTTTCCCACTCAGGATGTCACCAGGAAAAAAACAAAACAAAACAATAAAACAAAACAAAAAAAAAACAACAAAAAACCAAAAACGTAACATAGAGAAGAGATACAGGCAAGTATTCAAATTTCATTGCTTTTTCAAGTTTTAAGACTGTTTTTATATTAAAGGTGTCTATTAAGTTCTCCAAAAATTGTTTAGCATGTGCCATACCGGAAGTGCTCCACATCTACCACTTGACCAACAAGAACAGTAATGGAAATCAATTTAATGTCAAATCTATAACTATAGTTAAAAATAAAATTTTTCCTATTAACCGTCTTTAGCGGTCTACGGCTTTTAAAAATCCAATGAACAAGAAGTTTCCCTCTGTACACTGCTTTTATTATTTACATAATACAATATAGCATCGATGCTGAATAGCATGATTATGTGCAATACATAAATATGAACTATCTGTACACATCTGCAGATCTAACTCAGAACTAAGGTACATAAAACTGAAAGGAAAACTGAATACTTTAAGAATAAAGAAAAAACTAGGACTGAACACTGCAATAAATCAGTAGTGCCTTGTGTACATACTTAACTATTTACAGATGAAAACAGGCATTACCACAACACTAATCTAACTATTCTCATTTATATATAAAAAACACAAGTTTCATACATCACAAAAACCTTCCATTATAACACAGAAGTGATTATTACCAGACAAGCATCAGTGAAGTATACTGCCTTTTCTAGTTGTTATTGTACAATGCTGTATATAATGCAGCCCATGCAATACACCCAAGAACACTAGAGTCCTACACCCAGATACAATATGATAAAGCAGCCCTCTGCAAGTGGTGCTGGATACCACTAAGAAGTCTACTGCAGCCATGTTGGTTATGATTTTCCATGCAGAAGGGTACAGTTACATTAAAAACTGAAGTCTTTTAAAAAGCTTTAAACATTCTTTCTTGAACCAAAACATTCAAATAAAGATGCATATGAAAAATTAACTGTTCAGATACCTTTGCAACTTAAAATTCAGATGCATGTTATTTAACAGAGCTGCTGTATATGAAAATCAAACAGAGTTTTAATTTCTTCTTGTAAACAAATCAATCCTACTGCAGTTCTGTGCTACATTTTTAGTAATGACAATAATGCAGACATCTTCCGGTGCAGGCCAGTACAGTAAGCTTCAAAGATTATCTCAGGACCCTGAAGTTGACTTGGTGTCTTTACTTACAACCAGGTGAGATGTTACCTTCTGCAGAATGGCATAATTGACAGCTTTGAGAAGACCAATTTATCAGGCTTACACATGGCACCAAATACTGGCTTCATAGAAAGGAAGCTCTGATCCTCTTTATAGCTTTCTTCCTGCTTCCAAAAAAGATGTCGAAATTAAGGTGAAGTTTAACTATGGTAGTAGACTGCCAGTCCTTTTCTGGTGTACCTTTTTTTTTTTCTTTTTTCTTTTTTTTAAATACAGGCACATAATAACATTAGCCAAAGAGTATACCTTGATTACATTCCCAAAAGGCAGATATGCTGCAAACATGCAGAGATTTCATTCATTTTGTTTGGCACATGGAACTAAATTTTGTTCCTATTATCTGTGTGTTCAATTTGCTGTGCAGATTTTCATCCAATTTTACTGAGGGGAGGGCATATACATTTTGTAGGGCTGTATCTATCCAATTCTGCCTGTAACAAACACCCAAACATCCTAAAATATCAATTATCAGACAGACAAATGTAAAGTAAAACTCTGGAGAACATCAAAGGAAAATGGCCATGCATCTGCTCTTTAATGTTTTCCTACGATAATATTAAAATAAACACAAAATTTCAGTCTCTTCGCATGTAGTTATTTATATTCTCTGGATTTTTTCAGCCACAACAACTGGATTCTCTTTTCTGATTTTTGCTGCAGCTTCTGCTTTGTAATCATACGGGCAGTTGTGCTTGTCAGAGTAACGGTGAAGTCCACAAAACAAATTTCCACATCGGCAATCAAACCCTGTACAAACAAGAGGAAGCCCCATCACTTGGCAACTTGTGGCAAATCAAAGAGGAAAAAAACTTTTTAAAAAAGTACCCTATTCACCTTACAAAAGGAACGAATTTTTCATTGCTTTGACCATAAAAGGATTCAGTTCCTGGCAACAGGGTATAATCTATCCAGTTTCTGGAATCTGGATGACCTGAACTCAAAACAGCTCTACCACATCACATACTAACCGAGTAGTATCTCAGGTGAAAACTATATACAATCAAACACAGAATTCTTACTACATAAATAAAGAGACCAAAAGCACCAGGACCATTTCATGCCTAAATCAAAGTATGTGCTCACTGCTCTCTTTTCTCTACAAGTAACAAGTAAGAAAACTAATTCAGAAGGCTTGAAGTTAATGATAATGTAGGGCAACACAAATTGGATGAAAACTAAACCCAACTCAACCGCACTCTTTCTGGAAAGTTAAAAAGCAGATCTTTAAAAAAAAAAAAAATCGAATAGTCCTTTTTGGAATAAGCAAGAGCTCCTTATTAATTGCACGCAGTTAGAGATGAACTGTTTTATGTGTTAATACCTGTAAGGCCAACTTTCTTCCTACACATAAAACATCTGTTCTTCTTTGGTTTGGGCAACTCAGGAGCTTTTTCTTCATTTTGAGAAGTACTGGGCTGAGAAACTGATGGACTGGGCTGAGTGACAACTGAAAAACAGATTATAAATTAGAAAACTGTCTAGAAATCACTAGTTGATATGTTTAAGAGAAAGTTACAATTCAGAAAGTATAAGTCTTTCTTATAATCTTTTAAGTCTTGAGTATTTCCTATCAATTACTACACTAGTAAATGATCCTATAACTTGTATGAAATGGCCATTTAAGAAACTCCTTTAAGCAAAACAAAATTCCTCTAATTTTAGTCTTCTAACGGCCAGGTCTAATAAACAAAACAAAATTAATCAAGTTTAGTTTTTTTCCATATGTCAATTGCCTAACTGCAAACTTTAATTACTGTTCAGTAAAAGTCACTTTAAAAAAAAAAAACTTTGTTGATAAAAAGCA